TGCGTAAATACTGTTAGATTTGATAGCGTGCTTCTTCTTTCAAAAAATCCATGTTGGTGGGGTGACAAAATACACTTAATGTCTGAAAAAATATACTTATATAAAATAGATTCAAATACTTTTGGGTCAGAATTTCTCAAACGGGCCACCTGAATTAGGTCAAAATTAGTTTTTGATTGTAGATACATTTTTTCGATAGTATTTTACATCACTAACACAAATCCTAAAGGATTTTGTAAAAAAAAAAAATTTCAATTGACATATTCATGATATTAAAAGTAAAAGTTTTTAGTACCTAATTAAAAAATAAAAAAAAATCATTATGGCTAAACTAATTATCCGATTCCAACGATTTAACTAGCGTTGGAATCTTGTTTTGACATAGATTCTTTGTTATTTTTTTCAATTGTAAAATTTTCATTTAGGTCGATTTTTTTTTGTTTTTTTTATAACAAATTCGGAAATAATTGGCTTCTGCGCCAGCTATCGACTCGAAAAAAAAAACACATATACTCCAATCATTTTTCGAAATTATGCTGCTGAGAAAAAAAATGGCCCGCAGGTTCCAGACCACCGTAAGACGTCGCGTCACAAGCGCGTACAGCGTACACGGTTCGGAGCGTGAGCTGACACCGCGCGCGGCCACAAAAGGACGAATAACTTTTTGTCAACCTGCGGGCCATTTTTTTTCTCAGCAGCATAATTTCGAGAAATGATTGGAGTATATGTGTTTTTTTTCTCGAGTCGATAGCTGGCGTAGAAGGCAATTATTTCCGAATTTGGTATAAAAAAAACAAAAAAAAATCGACCTAAATGAAAATAGGACAATTGAAAAAAATAACAAAGAATCTATGTCAAAACAAGATTCCAACGCTAGTTATATCGTTGGAATCGGATAATTAGTTCAGCCATAATGAATTTTTTTATTTTTTAATTATTAAAAACTTTGACTTTTAATATCATGAATATATCAATTGAAATTTTTTTTTTTTACAAAATCCTTTAGGATTTGTGTTAGTGATGTAAAATACTATCAAAAAAATGTATCTACAAACAAAAACTAATTTTGACCTAATTCAGGTGGCCCGTTTGAGAAATTCTGACCCTATTGCAAAATTTGAAATAATTGAAATTGGCCTATAATTTTCGATATTAGACTTGGATCCATTTTTATGGATAGGACATACTCTTGAATTTTTCCAAACAGTGGGAAACCTTGAAGTTTTTAAGATCAAATTAAAAAGAATTATTAACGGATATGTAAAAATACTTTTACAATCTGTTATGAGAAAGCTAGGCACACCATCAAATCCTGCCGTAGGAGAGTTTTTAAGTTTTGCAATGGATGCCTGAATATCTTGTTCCGTAATAGCCTTTATGGTGACTAATGATTGAGAGAAATAAGGATCATTTTTCACATTATGTTTTGGATCAGATTTTGTATAAACACTGGCAAAATATTCGGCAAACATTTCTACAATAGGCTGTGGTTGAGAGCTTTCAACACCATCCAGTTGCATTACTCCCGGAATTCTACTAAAAGATCTTTTATTATTTACAAACGACCACAAAGATTTAGGATCCAAAGTAAGTTTATCTTGAATATTGATAATATAGGTATTCATCATAATCTGATTTTGTTTTTTTTTACATTGATTTCTTAGATCTTTAAAAGTTGGTAAGAATATTCACTAAAAGTAGTTACACATTGTAGCACTGAGTGTAGCTCCAGTCCCTGTAACTTTAACTTAATAAAAAGCTTGGCTAATTAAACCCCAGTAAATTTAAAAAATACCATCCCTTATGTACAGGGTTAATAATATCATCAAAATGTTTACTTAAATTGCTCTTAAGGTCAAAATGAGCTACATCCCTTAAAGATAATACGAAATATCGGCATATCGCCGACATTGTATTTCATAAATATTTTTCCAAACACTGATATTTATTTTGTTTTTTTTTAATTAATAATATATTTTGAAATATTAACAAGTAATTTTAGTTTAAAATTCGAAATATTCACCTCAGTAGGTATAGTATATATATATAGTCAATTAAAAAATATATATATATATATATATATATATACAAGGGCGTCGCCAGCCGGTAAGCTAGGGGGGCAGCATATAAGAACAAGAGAAAAATTAAAAAAAAAAAATTTTCATAAAAAAAAATTAAAAACGAACAAAATAACTACACACTTTGTTGACGAAATCGTCCAAGTTTTTGAAAATGTGTTGCCTGTGTTCACTTATCATTGCGAGGCCATTGAGTCGAGTTTCAAACATGGTGCTCCTCAACCAGGTTTTGATTCTCCTGAGGCTACTGAATGACCTTTCAACTGTACCAGTCGTACAAGGTAAAGCAACAAGGATCTTTAAAGCCTTCTTAATTTCAGGAAAAAAATCTTCAGTTTCCTTAAGGATTTCCACAACACTCAGTTTATCGTTTCAATTAGCAGGGTGACTTGTGAGCGTTAACCTCTAGGGGGGGCAGCTGCCCCTCTCTGGCGACGCCCTTGTATATATATATATATATATATATATATATTCTTGTTTTAATACTTATACATAATTATATTTGTAATTTAAAAAAAAATGTGTTGCAACAGAATAATGGTTTTGTAAAATTGGGCGAGACTATATCTCACAAAAATGCATTTTGAACTATAAAACTGATTTTATAAAATAATTTGTGAAAATTGTTCTTAATCATGTAACGTCACAATTTAACGCTAGCATAAAAATTAAACCCAATATAACGTTAACAAAATTTAGTGCGGCGATTAGCTACAGTGGAGAAGGGAGTGGGGATGTTTACTATAATAACACTGTGCGACAAATTTTGACCTTACAATTTGAACTGGGATGAAATGTGGAAAAATCGAATCTATGCAAGCCCCAAAACTAATCTTTAAAGGGGTTTTGCTAGTTTAGCTCGGATAATGGAGATATACAGGGTGTTTCTTTTAACTTGAGACAGCTCAATATCTCGAGAAATACGCATTTTACGGAAAAATGTCTTAAATAAAAGGTTAATGTGACCAAAGGGGACATTATTTGGTGCTACCGCTAGTCACCCCCTACCCCTCCTTAAGGGTGAAACTGGGGGTAACTTTGGAAAGTCAAATGGAATGACCCGATTTTTTTCACAGAGTTTGGTAGTACATAAAAAATGAATAACTTTTATTTGAAAGTTTTTTCAATTTATCAACAGATGGCGCTGTAATTCAAAATTTAAGAAAAAGGGGTTTCCTTGTAAAATGTATTATTTGAAACGTTTGAAAAACAAAAATTAACATTAAATCAACAATAGTCGGCTCTGAAAACAATTTATAACAAATGTTCGAAATGTCGTCCTTCCATTTCGACACCAAGTGTAGCACCAGCGTCCCTGGTCGGTAAACGTTTGGTGCGGTACCTTAAGCGAACGATTAATCGGACCCTTCTTTATTGACGGTGCATTAAATGGCGAAAAGTACCGGAATTTTCTAGAAAACGATCTGACGGACCTTTTATAGGATGTACCACTAGCACGGCTCCAAAACATGTGGTACCAGCAAGATGGTTGTCCTGCACATTATTCGACAATTGCTCGAGAGGTGTTGGATCGGGAGTTCAATGGCCGGTGCACCGCGGTGGATCGGTAGACGTGGTCCAGTAATTTGGCCTGCTCGATCACCTGATCTTACGCCACCAGACTTCTTCCAGTGGGGTTACTTGAAAGAAAAAGTTTACGCTGCAATTCCTACAACTTGGGAGGACATGGTGGAGCGGATCAGGAACGCCTGTGCGGCGATACCGCCCGATATGTTGGCGCGTTGTGTGCCAGAATTCATTACCCGCATTCAAAAATGTGTTGAAATGGAATGACGACATTTCGAAAATTTGTTATAAATTGTTTTCATAGCCGACTATTGTTGTTAATGTTAATTTTTGTTTTTCAAACGTTTCAAATAATACATTTTACAAGGAAACTCATTTTTCTTAAATTTTGAATTACAGCGCCATCTGTTGATAAATTGAAAAAAGATTTAAATAAAATTATTTATTTTTATGTACTACCAAACTCTGTGAAAAAAATCGGGTCATTCCATTTGACTTTCCAAAGTTACCCCCAGTTTCACCCTTAAGGAGGGGTAGGGGGTGACTAGCGGTAGCACCAAATAATGTCCCCTTTGGTCACATTAACCTTTTATTTAAGACATTTTTCCGTAAAATGCGTATTTCTCGAGATATTGAGCTGTCTCAATTATTCGAGCTAAACTGGTAAAACCCCTTAAAGGATTTGTTTTGGGGGTTGCCTAGATTCGATTTTTTCAGATTTGATCCCAGTTCATTTTTTGTGTTGCACAGTGTAATTATTGCTCGTAAAGGGATATCGGTAGGGCGCCAAGTATTTTATTATAATCCACACTAATTTTAAGATCAAAGGAAGGAGATATTGAAAATACTAAAATATCTAACCATTAGGTTATCTGGGTTAAATAGGAAATAATACTACGAGTATAAATAATGCAATTACGTTATATTTCGTAAGTAAAGAAAAAAATAAATAATCAAAGGCTACAAAATGCAATGTCGATAGTTATCGATTGTGTTAACAAAATCCGACAGTAATAATAAAAGAAAGAGAGTATAGTAGGTATGCTTCTACCTTAAAAATTAACAAATTTGAAGAAGAAATATACATAAATTGGTAAAATATTGAGCTCAGTATTCTTTACAAGAAATTAAGATTATTACAATTGATATCTTGATATATTCAAGATCGACTTTTCAGCCAATACACCTGAAATTGAAATGAACGGTAAGTATAATAAATTAACCAAAGAGTGGTAATTTAGTAACTTATACTCTTATGAGAGATTACGTAACTAGGTGTATTTAGTAAAAAGTTTTGTTTTATGTATATAGGTAAATATTATTTTAAAATATTTTGTTAATTTACATTAGATTAAAGAGAAGTAGAAAATTATAAGTTTATTTTTCAGCACCTACTTGAGAATACAAGATGGAAGCCTGCGGTTTGGAGGTCACCGGACTTAGGGAATTTGGCGGCAGGAAATCGTCGATTACCAGAATTGGCGACAAAATGGCGGATGGAAGAAGCCACGTGCCGACTTTCGATTTTACCCCCTTTTTCCTGGAGATTATGCGACTTTTCTAGTTAGGAACACCAGCCAGAGAGTTGTCAAGGTTTCTAGGAGTGATGTAGTTTGGCGACCAAATCCTTAGGCGTTCGGTAGATATATTTAGTGCGTAATTCTCTAATTACTTATAGAATTTTACAGGGATAAACTAAAACCTACAAGATAGACAATTAAAAACATACCCTTGAGCAATATTACTGTACTTTACCTCCATTGAGATGCGGAGGTTCGCTTCCAAAAATCAAAAAGAATAAACTTGGGCCGTAAATCCGACGAAGTCGTTTCCAAAAAGGAATATGTAAGACGTACTCGTAAATCCGTCTTAGACGATGAACATTAACTTCAAAATTACAAAGAAATTTTCACAAAGCTCACAAAACAGAGTATCGTCCTAACTGGCCAAGAATTCGTTTTAAACTGAAGTTATGTCGTGAAAATGATGGAGAGAAAAAAAACAAGTAGAAAAACTTTACGACACTCAGCGAACGTTCAGGATTAAATTATTTTATAATATACAGTGTGTCTAAAGATTTAAATAAATGATGACTGAAATAAACCCATTGCATTTTTATTATTGATTCCACAAAACAAAATTAATAAAATAAAAGAAATCGTTACAATCTCACCGATTCAATTATGGTCAATGTTTTAGAAGTAAGAATAGAAGTAAATATTTGTAAAAAGTTACTTACTTGAGTTAATATTATAAGTATTCTTCATAATTAAATTTAATTTTTTAATCAGTAAAAAACTATTGAATAACTTAAAAAACAATGTAATGAACACAGTTGGGAAGCTTCTTTTAAAATAAAGTTGTATTTCGTATTTAACACTGTCGCAACCGATTTTGTAATCTTTTTAATTCGTAATTATAATCTTTTTTTGATAACACACAAAAAAGCCGCATTTAACTCTATGGTCCACAGACTCTTAAACGTTCCATTATCAGAAAAAGATTATAATTACGAATTAAACCTAATTAAACAAATAGCAGTTAACAAAATCTTAAACCACAAAAAACAAAAAATAGCCATCAACAACGTTTTTCCAAGATGACCATGAATACATATAATAATTGTACATATCTAGGTGCTAATTTCTTTAATAAAATCAATAGTAATTTAGCATTTAAAACCAACAACAATCTTAGTAAATTTATCAAAAACAACAAAGATAAAACATCAAAATCTTCAAAATCCGGCGTTTACCAACTAACCTGCAGAGACTGTCCGAAAACATATAGGCCAAATGGGTAGAAATTTTAATACACGAATTAAAGAACACAATATATCCTATATAAACCTTAAACAGGATTCTTATTACATTTTATTTTTAGTAATTTTAAGTAAATTTAAATCAAATAAAGCAAATTTCATTTATTTATATTCTTTTATTAAGAGGGACGCTCTGTATAACATATGTTCATATATTAAATGCGTGTTGTCGCAACGTTTTTTTTTTCTATTTTTTTTTTAGTTCTCCTGGTTTTCGACATTTTGCTGTGTCGCTTCAGTTTTAGTCGGTCTGCCTAAGAGCCGTTTCACATGCGACTGATAAAGTCCTGACGATCAGTCCTGATGGTCAGTCCTGATGACTAGGGGCCATTGTTTAAATGAACTTTTTCACATGCACTGCGTATCATCGGTTGACTGATTCGTCGGCACGGGCATCGGGACAGCCCGTGCGCACTGCGTACCGTCAGGACTATTAAGGGCTGTTAATTATATGGTGTTGCACAATGAGTAGTTTACGCATTGATACTGAAATTGTAATAAATAGCATCGAACAGCGAAGATGCATCTGGTATGCAGATGATGAGAACTACAAAAATAGGGATGCAAAGAACAAAGCATTTGAAGAAGTAGCGTAAATAGTAGTTCCGGATTGAAAATTTTGCGAAAGCAAAGAAGAACTTTTTTGCGTTATATTATAAAAAAAGCCGCATTTAACTCTATGGTCCACAGACTCTTAAACGTTCCATTATCAGAAAAAGATTATAATTACGAATTAAACCTAATTAAACAAATAGCAGTTAACAAAATCTTAAACCACAAAAAACAAAAAATAGCCATCAACAACGTTTTTCCAAGATGACCATGAATACATATAATAATTGTACATATCTAGGTGCTAATTTCTTTAATAAAATCAATAGTAATTTAGCATTTAAAACCAACAACAATCTTAGTAAATTTATCAAAAACAACAAAGATAAAACATCAAAATCTTCAAAATCCGGCGTTTACCAACTAACCTGCAGAGACTGTCCGAAAACATATAGGCCAAATGGGTAGAAATTTTAATACACGAATTAAAGAACACAATATATCCTATATAAACCTTAAACAGGATTCTTATTACATTTTATTTTTAGTAATTTTAAGTAAATTTAAATCAAATAAAGCAAATTTCATTTATTTATATTCTTTTATTAAGAGGGACGCTCTGTATAACATATGTTCATATATTAAATGCGTGTTGTCGCAACGTTTTTTTTTTCTATTTTTTTTTGAGTTCTCCTGGTTTTCGACATTTTGCTGTGTCGCTTCAGTTTTAGTCGGTCTGCCTAAGAGCCGTTTCACATGCGACTGATAAAGTCCTGACGATCAGTCCTGATGGTCAGTCCTGATGACTAGGGGCCATTGTTTAAATGAACTTTTTCACATGCACTGCGTATCATCGGTTGACTGATTCGTCGGCACGGGCATCGGGACAGCCCGTGCGCACTGCGTACCGTCAGGACTATTAAGGGCTGTTAATTATATGGTGTTGCACAATGAGTAGTTTACGCATTGATACTGAAATTGTAATAAATAGCATCGAACAGCGAAGATGCATCTGGTATGCAGATGATGAGAACTACAAAAATAGGGATGCAAAGAACAAAGCATTTGAAGAAGTAGCGTAAATAGTAGTTCCGGATTGAAAATTTTGCGAAAGCAAAGAAGAACTTTTTTGCGTTATATTATTCTCTTTATACAAAAAGCGGCAACAGCGCAGTTCCGGAGGCGCTGAGACCGTCTCGTAGTAGACATTTCCGTACTATACGTTGCTTGTGAAACAATGGTCATGACCGTCAGTCCGTATCATCAGGACTGATCGTCAGGACTTTATCAGTCGCATGTGAAACGGCTCTTAGTTATATGGAGTATTTCATATGGTACGTACGGTCAGCAGAAACAGTATTGCACAATGAGTAGTTTACGCATTGATACTGAAATTGTAATAAATAGCATCGAACAGCGAAGATGCATCTGGTATGCAGATGATGAGAACTACAAAAATAGGGATGCAAAGAACAAAGCATTTGAAGAAGTAAAGCAAAGAAGAACTTTTTTGCGTTGTATTATTCTCTTTATACAAAAATCGGCAACAGCACAGTTTCGGAGGCGCTGAGAACCGTCTTGTATACACTGAGAGAAAAAGAATGTTAAATCAACACTTTTGGCGGTTAAATACAATCAATCTTTTCTGGGGGTTAAATTAACTATCGGGGAGTTAAACTAACTATCTACGAATGTTAAATTAACTAACTACAAATATTAAACTGCAACTTATAGTTAATTTAACATTCCTAGATAGTTAGTTTAACTCCCCGATAGTTAATTTAACCCCCAGAAAAGATTGATTGTATTTAACCGCCAAAAGTGTTGATTTAACATACTTAACATTTCCGTACTATACGTTGCTTGTGAAACAATGGTCATGACCGTCAGTCCGTATCATCAGGACTGATCGTCAGGACTTTATCAGTCGCATGTGAAACGGCTCTAAGGTGTATCATCGTTCTATTGTGAATTTTGTGAATTTTTGAACTCCGTCGGATTAATAGACCAATTTTCTCAAACTGATAACCTCCATTACAAGCGGAGGTAAGCAAATTAATAATTATTAAGGTGTGTTACTTAAATTCATCTTTCGTAGGTTTTTTTTTGTTGTTGCCTATTTTTCTTTACCTGCCAACTTTCCTGTGAGGCATCGTTTTGTGGATATTCCCACTTCCAAGTCAAAAGAAGTTGAAGATTGCCCACATGGTTACTGACCTCCCAACCACCGTTCCGTTTGGACGTCACTTCCAGTGGCCATCTTGTACAGATACTCAAGTAGGTGCTGAAAATTAAGAAAAGCGTTCATTAATATTATTTACAAGTACTTAACTGTATATTACCTACCTCGTTGAATAGTAAATTTTAATTATTTATACCTTACCGCCAAATTTCTTTTATGTAACTAAATATATACTAAGATCTACCACCTAACCAGGAATAATTCATTTTATATAACCAACGAGTGGATCAAAGTAATCGATCCTCTTAAAATTACATTGTATATATATATAAATATATTTAATTTTAAATTTTAGTAAACTATTGTAAGGGATACTGAGCTCAATATTTCACTTTTTTCTTTCTGTTCATAATTTTCTGTATTTGATAATTTTAAATTTTCTTTAGTTATAATTTACACTACTTTTATTACTAACCTGTACTTACTTAATTGTCAATATAATTTGATATAATCCGCTAGAATTTGGACTCTCCTTGGTACAATTGCGACCACTTACGCATGTACGTGATTAAGTAATAAAATTTGAAGTTATAATATAAACAATATTTTATTTGTATCTCCCAGACAACCTGCAAACACTTAATTTAGTATTTTTTTAAGGAATTGTATCATAAGTGTTGGCTTTATCTAAAATACTTGGCGCCCCCTTATTCACTATATCGTTAAGCTCACTCCCAACTCCACCAAAGCTGGCCGAAGCACTTAATTTTGTCAACGTTACTGGTGGGATTTGTATTTCATTTCATAAAATATTGTTAATGTTTAATTGTAACGTTACATTCTTCATACGCTAACCATTTAATACAAGAGAACCACACATTTGATGATAACTTTAAAATATTACATGTAGCCAATAAAGGTACAAAACTAAATCTTCTAGAGTCTTTGGAAATTAATAAACTAAAGAAAAAATCTGATATTGTTCTTAATGACCAAATTGAAACTAACAGCTTGCCTCTGCAAAATTTATTTTAGAGTGTATACTTGTAGTACTAAAAAGTAATATTTATTAATATTATAATATTATATTAGATAGGATTTTCCAAACCCTTAGTTTTTCCAAAATTATGTAAGTTTTATTAATACCTTCAGGTATAATGTTTATACAACATTTATCTTCTCAAATTACCTGCCATTTGTTAATATAAATACCGCCACTTGATAAAATATGTACCAATTCTGAAGAAGCTACTGTGTAGCGAAACAATTGTTAAAAACATAAATAAATTAGTGAAACTTTAAAACAGTGTTGTTTTTATTCATATATTAATAATATGGAGTTTCATCAAGTAAAGGTCGAAACAATCAACAATTTATTATTGTGGTCTTATACCTAATGATATAAAGCCGCTTCCCTTGACAGAAGATGTGGTTTTTGTTATTATTTCCAAAAAAAGCGACGTAAATATATTGCAATGTCTAGTGGAATTTAAACCTCAAAAATCGTAAATAAATTTACCAACACATTCCGTATAAGGTATACCCTAGACTGGGCCAAAAAAATCAACTAT